CACAAACAATGAATCATGGAACACTACATCAAGAACTAATGATGTAATGTCTGGTGATTAACGTAACAATAAAAAATTTTTTAAATAAAAGAGAAAGTTTGTGGAATTTGAATTCTGTTCATTCCATTAAAAAAGAGAAAAACACTGATAAAAATACATCTTTCTGAGGTTCTCGAAATGGTCAATAATGTTTTATTGGAACCTACTGATCAGGAAGGAGTACACTGTGACACAGAAGGTGGTAAGAATGGGTCGGGCTATACCTGTAATCACAACCATCCGGAGAAAGTATCCGTTTATTTACTTTAGGAATGAGACATACACTGTCCTGTCAGTAAATATTAACTGAGCCTATTCTGCTTTGGGAATGCAAAAGAAATGTAAAGGGCATTAGAAATCTCAAATGTCAGGGAATTTGCAAAAGTAGTAACAAGAGACAAAACAGGCATATAAGATGTTTCGATTCAGTGCTAATTTTTTATGTTGTAGAATTCAAAGGAGTAAATCAATGTGTGTTACAATATTCAGGATTAAGTTCACATGAGAGATAGGACCTGAGCTGATTTTAGATCAAAATAAAGGCAAGAGGAAGTGTCAAAAGAAAGAAACATCCTTCAATGTTTCTGTGAGAGATCCTGCTGGGATGAAAAAGTGAATTCTTTCTCTGAGAAAAAGCAGGGATCACAGGTCTCCCAGCTGAGGCGAGTGTCTAGAACAGAGAACATGCACCTTCCCAGAATAATGTTAAATGACAGAACACGTCTACAAACATCTATTTTCAGTGGGCTCTCAGGGTGTCTGGGAGTCCTATGATTTCCAATAAGGTTTTTATTTCCCACCACAAGCATTGCATCGACTCAGAAGATGAACTTCGAGAGAAGGGAACAGTTACGAGCACTGTGGTTTCACTCCCGGTGCTTCCTGGGACCATCCTCACCTCAACGGAGACCCCATAGAAAGAGCACGAACCTCAGACCCAGTTTCTGTCCTAATACAGTGCTACCTGCTCCTTCCCATGCATCTCACCTCCCTAAGGAGCTGTCGCCCAAGCAGAGAGGTGGCACACATGAATTAAACGGAAAATATGCAGAGACTGAATATCATACACCAAATGAATTATACAAGACATAGAAAGAAGTTGAAAGAATTGTAGATTGGGGTAGGAGACTTGAGCTTAGAAATAAATTGGATGAAGTGTTCTAAGGAGAGTTCACAGAATACGCTCTCAAAAGCACATAAAATTTTAACCAACGTTTCCATAAGAGCACAAGGAAGCACTCAGAAAATGTAAACCATTATTTTGGATAAACAGACATCACATTAGGATCCTGAAAAATTCACAGAAGGAAAAATTCTATCCTAAATCTCCAAGAAAGCAAGGTTTAAAATTTTATGACTCTGGTAAATAGAACAAATTCTTCTGTGTTAAATTAAAATATAAACAGGCTTTACTAGGACATGATGGGGAAGAGGAGATGGCTTTTTAAGAAACAGGGGCAATGAAAGGGAAGGAGAGAATATCTCCTTTTTTCTAGAAGAGAACTGAAATAATAAACAAGGTCAATGCTAGAGAAGAGAACATCTCCCCTTTTTTTCTAGACAAGAGTGAGATATCCCCAAGTAATTTATCTTAACATACACTTGTGACATATAAGGATTATTTTCCACTAATTATAAATGAAGAAACTAAATTTAAA